AAAGAAAAAGCAATTTATACACAAATGTGTGATTAAGCGGATCATGAAATATATATATATATATCTTGAGATAGATATATATAAATAAAGCTTGAGATATATATATATATACACACACACACACACACACACACACACACACACACACATCTCAAGATTTACAAAGGTGTGGATAATGCTTGAATAAGATTAAGGGTTTTTTTTATTTCTTTTTTTCAGCTAACCAGTGGTTTTATGGAGGCTGTAAATCACATAAGGAAGAGATTGCCCATCTTTCTCCTGAAGACTTATTACTAAGGGAAACTTGCAATGTTGGTTCCTACCTTCTGCGATAGGATCAGAGAGGCCCACTCCCACCCCCTGAGACAGAGAGTTTCCCTCATTGCCATCAAGTTGGAACTGACTCATGGCTGACCCTCCAGCCGGTTTCCTGAGTCTGTAAATAGAACAGGAGGAGACTGCCTGTCTTTCTCTTGCATTGCTGCTGGTGGAGTTGAACCTCCAGAGAAGCGCATCCTTTGGATTAACGGTGCCACTCCTCAGGGGCTACACTGCCAGAGCTCCTAGGGAAAGAACTGGGAGGGGGTTTTTAACTGAGGAAAAAGCAGCGCTCAGGTCTTACTTGTCTCTGGCTTCCCAACCACCCCAATTCTGACTTGAGAATCACACTTCTTGCACTGCATGCAGTAAAAACGGAGAACTCAGCTTTCCACCAGAGTCCTGGGCTCATACCTAAAGCATCTATTCTTTTTCATTCTCCTCCACCTCACCCCCCCACCACCAATTTATCTATTCTTAAATAGACTGTCCTACTGGCGATACTCCTTAAATATCTCCACCGCCACTCTGACCACCCCAACTGCCACTGGATCACTACCACAGCCTCCCAAGGAGCTGGAGCTCCCTGCCTCCACCTTGCCCAATCAATTCTCCACACAGGCTGGAGCAGCTGATGCAAAGCTGAGCTTAAGCTCACCAGAAGTGCTTGGGGGCTCTCAGGCCAGAAACCGTGGTGGGGTTTACAAGGCTCTTCATGAAGTCCCCCCACTTCAGCCTCCATGTTCCATGGCCCTCCTTCCAACCTTCATCACCTGCCACACTCCCACTCTCTTTACTCTGAACTGTCAGGGTTACTTTCTTTCAGGTTTGGGTGAAGTCACCTTGCACATTTTGCACTTGCCATGCTCTCCAGAAAACTTTCCTCCACCAACCTTCACTCTTCTCCCTCCTCATTTAGCTCTTATACACTTCCTCCAAGAAGCCTTTCCTGACCTCTGCAGACAAGCTGGGGAGCTCCCTCCTCCCAGCGTGTCCCACAGCACTGCCGGGCACTTGTTTACCTGTCAGTCTATCCCATTATCAGATTGAAAGCTTTGGACCAATTACCATGCCTGTCGCTTTATTTGCTGTATTCCAGGCACCAGCCACACGCTAGCCTATAAAAGATGCTCAGTAAATATTTGTTGAATGAATGAATGACTTCAATCTCGATCACGTGGCTCATCAGAGCTCTGAAGGAGTGTCCCAGGCCTGCTGCAGCTTTGCACACTCCAAGGGTGTGTGAGCGAATGAGTGCACAGTGAGTGCTTTAACCACTCACACTGCAGCCAAGGGGAGCCAACTGTGGGCCCTGCCTCCGCACTTCTAACAAGCAGAGCGCAAGCTTTGGGAGCTCGTGGCACTGCAGAACGCACGGATGCGGTGCCAAGTGCGGATTTCGCCTTGCTGGATCTTAAACTCCATGTTGGAGCTCTAGAAGAGGGGTAAAACTTCCAGGGTTCCTCCTGGAGGACAGATGCCCGCCCCTTTCACCTGACAAACCCCGACCCTACACTTCAGCTCAGCTATCCTGCCCCTGCCCCTGGTCGATTTCCAGTGGACCGAGTCAGAGGTCGGATGGAAAGGGGCGTGTCTGCGCTGGGAGCGCGGGGGTCCACACAGTTTGGGCCACTTTCCCACACGTTGTTTGGGTTTCCTGGAGATGGGCCTGGGGCTGGCCGGGCTGAGGCTCCTTCCCCCTGCCGTCCTCCCGGCCTCCCTCCCACGTGGCCTGGCTGAATCTCTCTGGAAAGCCGCAGCAGCTGGAGCGAAATCCCCCTCCCCACCCCCAACCCCAAGTCCCTCCCTGACTCTCCCCGGACACATCCTCAGCTCCCCACTAGGCAGAGAAGGCAAGAAGGCGGCGAACAAAGCGGGCAGCCCATCCCCCTCCCCAGCCCCACCACCTACTCGCCCCTTGGGCCGCCCCCCCAAACGCACACAGAAATCGAGAGGGCTAGAGACGGAAGAATGAACCCTGGACTCACATACACTTGAGGACTTCGTCCCCCCTCCCTTGTCCCTTCAGCTGGACAACTCCGACCCTTACTCCGCACCACCCCACACTGGGGTGGGGGCCTGGAGGAGGCCTGGCTAAACCTCGTCCACGGTCCCCTGGATGGCGAGCCAGGAATGACACGCGTCCCATCTCAACAGCGAGTGCTGGACACGTCCACGAAAGCAACTGGTTTTCTGCCCCTTCCCCCCAGCCCACTCCTGGCCACAAATTCGGGGAGCAGACTCCCCTGCCCCAATTAGCTCCCGGACCACACCCACTGGGCAAAGTTGAGTGCAGTTTTATCACCCTCACACACAGACACACACGGTCAGCGTGGAATCTCCCGCCCAGTTCCCCCACCAGGGGCAAGGACACTCCCCAAAAGCCAAGGCCAAATATTAGCTCAGCTCCAGAAACAATTACACACGCACCGACACAAATGGAGGTGCAGACACACCCCTTCACACTCCTTTCTCTCTCTCTCTCTCTCTCTCTCTCACACACACACACACACACGCGCACACACACACACAACCAGGAGAGGCGCGCGGGCAGAGAGCTTGACCCTCACAAGCCGCCAGCCCCGCAGCCACCCGCCCAGGCGATGCCGCGCTGTGACCGTGGCACGCACTGCGGACGCGTAGTCCCGCAGGAGTCCGCCCCAAACACACACCCTCACACACACACATACAGAGGACAAGTACGTGCCGCAAAAGCCCCCGGCCGCAGCTCGCAGACCCCCACATCCAGGCAAGCCCGGCACAAGGAAGCGCACAGCCCGCGCCCCACGGTCCTCGCGCTTGCTCGGGACCCAGGACCCTCGCCGGCCCCCAGCCCAGAGCAGCCCCGGCGCGGGCGCACGCACTCGCCGCAGCGG